CAATCCTTCTGACACTGACATAACTTCAACTCTCGGAATATTTTTAGGGAATGTTGTGAAATTAAAATTACTTTCAAACAACAAATTTCTGACATTATCAATGTAATAATTTCCTTCGTATTTAGTTTTGTATTCATTGAATATTTGGATGTATCTTAGTGCTTCACTCAATGAATATTTGATCTGTAAATCAGAATCACTTTCATTATTAATAAATCTAAAAGTGAAGCCCGAAAAATTAAAAATTAAATTGAAATGAGAGATTGTAGTTGCTAATGTCAAATGGAATCTTGTATATGATGTTGCTTCTGAGATTTCCTCTATTTCTCTCAAACCATCTTTGTAGTTTTGCAAAAGAACAATGAACAAAATACTGAAAACTAAAGTGAAAATGAATAAAACAAGCATAGAAACTCTGATCATTTTCAATGAAGGGAATTTCAGTTTTTCTATCATATCTGAAATTGTATTGTTTTCTTCAATTTTCAAACCAATCTGTTCATCATCGTAATTCTCTTCAACAACAAAAGAAACATTCTCACTATCATTTGATTTTGCTAAACTAGAAGTATTATTAATGAATCTTGGCATGTTAGGAAATGCTAATAATCCTAATTCTTGTGTATGATCATTCTGAAAACGAATTCCTCGAATCATTAGTTTCGTTTGATCAGAAATCAGCATATATTTATTGATGTCATTTGCTACTTCATATAAATAAGTTGAGTAAGTTCTGTAAAGAAATCTATTGTTAGGAATTTGTGTCAATAATAAATTGAATTCACTTTCAACTTTATTTATCGTTTCAAATGCATTTGAAATTGAACCATCCATTTCACTTATGTTGCTTTGTATTACTTGGTCCCATATCTGTCTTAATCTTCTCTTACATTGTAAAACAGATTTTGTTACATGATTGATTTTCTTCTTTATTTCATATGTCAAATTTGTTTCTCTTTCTGTGAAAATTATTTTTGATGTCATCAAACATTGTCTTGCAGAAATTCCTTTTATTTTGTTCTGTATTATCTTGCGAACAATGTAGTTATGTACATCACATAGTTCTGGATAGATTGAAACGAATTTTCCATACGTAACCCAATACAAACTTGAATTTGGATTCTTTTCTGTCAAATGTTTGAAAATTATAAAACTCATTGCCGCTGGATGACCAAAATGATAACCGATCAATGCAGATGTGTATAAATAGTTGTCACTTTTATCACCATTATCAATCATATGTGATCTTCAAATTAAATTATATCTAAAAATAATAAACGGTTTTTGTAAACTTTTTGCGTAATAAAATGGCAGATTATGAAATAAACGAATAAAGCACAGACCCAAATAAAAAGTCCGGCAACGGGCATCGAATATCCAAGTAAAATCATGATTACGCACACAACCATTCATGAAGTTGAGAAAGTAATGTATGTTAGGAATAAAGTATTATGAAATAAGTTAACAAATGAGAATTTCAAGAATAAGCTGTAAATAGCTGATATAACTAATATGGTCTGCAGTGAATATACAATGATCTGACCTGTGACACTTAAATAACTAAGACATCCTATGAAACAACTCTGAAAATAGCAGACATATATGGTAATTATTTGTTGCATACCATTAACACATTGAAATGAAGTTGGTCTGAATACAAATGTATAAGAATATGTGATTCTGTAGAAAAAATAATAAGAAAAGTAACCGATTGCTGTTAGTATGATATTGAAAATGTTGTAAACCAAACCGAAATGCAACTCATCGCCATTGATCATGCCACCAACAATCTCAAAACATATCTCTAGCACTGGAGCATGAATCATATACCCAACAACTGAAACGTAGAAGTGAATCATGTATACAATCGTAGTTGATATTGTTCCTGTTTTGTGATAATAATATGAGCTTGCTGAAATAAATATGACAAATGATACATTTACAAAACAATAAATAACAACAATGTAAAATGATGATACATCGCGATATTCTATAGGAACAAAGTTCCATAAGATTGAACAATAGTTGAAAAACTTATAAAGTACAGTGCCTTTCGGAAATAATAAATTTGAATTTGTGCACAAAAGAATTCCAAATAGTTGAAAAGCCCTTATTGCTGACATGACTTTGTGCAATCCCAGAAAGGGTGGAAGAATGGAATCCATGTAATTTAGCAAGTTTGTGATTTGCATAACGTAGATTTTTTTCTTGCTTGGAGGTAGCAACCCATCATATTTCGAAGAAGAATCAGTCATCGAATATTGAAATGAAGGTAAGCTTGATTGAACTGATGAATTCATTAACGAAATTGCAAATCCTAACGATTATTTTAGAATTTGAGAGTTGTTTCAAATTTGATTTCCGATGAGTTTGGCAGACATGTTTTATAATAAAATTAATAGCTTATTAAAAATATCAGTAAATCTTAATTTCAGTTATACAGGAGTTTTGACAGCTAAACAATTTTATATGCTGTAAAATTCCAAATGATGGTTTAAAAATATTATAATACATTGAATATGGTAATATATTTTATTGCAATATTCAAACCAAAAACCTTCCATTGAAAATTCAATTGAATAGAAAATCTTCAAGAACTACAACTGGTATTAATTAAATTTTTTATCTAATTTTTAATTTTACAGCTTTCTATTCAAAAAAATAAAGGTGTCAAGACATTTAATGTATTTTTTGTATTTTTAACTATCATACTAAGTTATATATATCTGATCAACTAAATGTAAATCGGATTTCATAAAATGGCACCTTTTTGTTATGAAATTTTTGAAACCCTCAGAAACAAAAATTTCTTAAATTGTTAAAAATATAGAATAGAATTCTATAATAGGGAATAAAGTTTTCTGAATATTTATTCTTTCAGATGAGCTCTCAATCTTGTAAATTTCAGTTTTTAATTTATATTAATATAGAGGTTTCGATGATAATGTACAACTGATATCAAGCCTAAAATAAATCTCATTTATGCTGATTTTCAAATGATGTACACCCAATTTTCCTCAATCTCAAAAGATTATTGTGTTTTCTTTAGACCAGGAGTTATCAGTTCATGATTTTTGGTATCACAATAAGAAATCTTTTAAAACCACCCCGAGAAGAATCAAATTTAACAAAATTTAAATGAGAGTTATCATATAACATTTCACAATTTCACTTAACAGTTCAAGCATTCCTTGCCCATCAAATGATTTGATTTTTCGATAAATTCCAAAAAATAATTTTGCGATTTTTCGTTCCTTCCGGATTTTTAATTTAAATGTTACTTTATTTGAAAATGATAGATTTGAGAGGTTCCCATTGTGATCTTTTTATGACAACAGATAATTCCATTCATTTTATAGAGCTCTTATAATGGTTTGTGTTTTGTATCATAATGGAGTTGCATATTTTGAAGTTAACTCTGTGAATCTAAACTTGGAGGGAAAAAAGAGTATATTACACTAAAAGTGACAAAAAATTCACCCTTAATCAGATATATTTTTTGTAATTTTGAGTATAGATACCTTGTTGAAATGATATAATATGGATTAATCGATACTTATTGGTGTTCTAAGACAAGTAATAACAATCTCAATTTTTAATAGTAAGATTTTGAGTTAAAATTGATATTGCAAAAAGTTACTTATAGAAAGTATTTTAAAGTGTCATAATACAAACAAAAATAAATTATAAATTTCTTATGGTTCAACTAAATAAGTAAACATCTTACATCCTTTGACATCAATTTCACCTCTTTCTTTGATTTCAAAGTTTTGTCCATAAACTAGTTCATAGACAGGACGTGAAATATGAACTTTCATTGGAACACCTTTGTTTTCCATTTCATGAGCAATGTTAATAGCCGGACCTAAGATTTCAAAAGTTGGTTTCTCTGTTCCAATAACACCAGCAACAATTGGACCGCCAGTGTTAATACCAACTCTGATTCTAAGCTTTTCATTTTCCCTTTCATCAATTTCTTCAAGTTTCTTGATGACTTTGCAACCGAAGTCAACAACTTCTTTTGCATGAACAGCTGGTTGGTTTATTTCATCAAAGATACCTCCAGCTGTCATATAGCAATCACCAATGCATTTAATTTTTGTCATTTTCAAATGAGCATTAGTAATTACATCAAATTCTTTGTACATGATATTGAGCATTCTCATTACATATTGGGCATCATGAGAGCCACACCATGGAGTAAATTCTACAACATCTAAGAACAAAACAGTAACTGATTGAACAGCGAAAGAGATATTCTTTTCTCCTGCTTGAACACGAGTAACTAACATTGGTGGCAAAATACTTGCTAACATTGCATCTGATTTCTTCTTTTCCTCAACAATTAATTTCTCATGCATTACAATTTGTGTCTGATTTATTCCGGAATAAATTCTTCTTCCAGCAACATATTGTGATGAAAAGTCTAAATAAACCTTTTCTCCTGTTGGTTTTGTATAAATAAGTCGACCACCTGATAAAATAACCTTTTCAATTTTATCATCAGATGTGAATTTTCCATCCATGAAGAAAGTCTTAACATCTTTTTTCAATCTCTTCTTGCTTGATTCTAAACATCTCTTCAAATGATGTATTAACATTGATAACATTATTATTTTCTTCTCTGCAAACAATGATAATATCATCCAATTTATTGACAACTTCATTATGGAATGATTGTGTTCTGTCTATTGTTTCATCAACAACATTCTCGTAGTTACCGCCTAAAACATCAATAATATGAGAATTTGATAATAAAATTTGTGAATTGCACTTCAATAAGCAGTTCATCGTAAACTTAAGTAGAATTTCTTCTTTTCTTGTTAATCTCAAAACATTAATTGAGAATATTGCTGCAATAATCATGAAAATGAAACAATATTCAGTTAAAGGTTTGAACTCTGAATTAACACTTGCCTTAATTGTTGATACAAGATTCATTCCTGTTCTATAAAAGAAGGCTTCATATAACTCTATTGCGCCGATTTGCCATGTATATGTTATTCCATCACCTTTGGAAGGGCATAAACTGGATTTTCAGCTGTCATCATTCCATAGAATCTTCTCATCAACATGTTCATGAGGTAGAATTGACCTCCAGCTGAGAAGCAATGAGCACTTGTTGGGATGATCTTTGGAGGAGTTAAGATATTTCCGCATTTGATGGTTTGTGATGCATCGTCAACAGATTCTTGCATTCCTGAAAATGGAATCTGATTTGGACCGCCTAAAGTTAACAATTGGAAGTAATTTGCAACAATAGGTAAACTTGCATTGATTTCTTGTAAAGAAACTGTTTCATTGACACAAATATTTTGGAATGAACTATCATAATGTTCCCAAACAAGATCAAAAACATTTGACATTACCTTGTAAATATGAGCAATACTTCCATACATATAGTCGATATGATAGCAATTATTAACAACTTCTGTTGAAGCATCCAAGTAACTTTCAATGATGAAATAAAAACCAATAATTCCAGCTACTGCAATAAACAGAAAGTTGAATAAATTGTACATTTCAACTGATGCTTTTGATTGTTCATCATTAATAGAAGAGAAGAGTTTAATGATGCTTTCTTCCTGTCTGTTGTGTTCAATCTCAGCGATACTTCCTAATGATTGTGTAGTTGCTGTTGCTTCTCTTTGTAACTTTGTGAATGAATAGGAAATATTTGAAATGACTGTCTTGTGTAAGCTTGAAAGTAATCCATATATTACAATTTTATCATTTCTTAATTTTCTTATTTGAGTTGTAACAATGATCAAGTAAATGATAAAAACAAGAATAATCAAAGCAACTCTTAAATAAATAAGAATTCGATGATTTCTTGTTGAAACATCTGTCATATAGGAAATAATGTTTTCAACAGCTTCTGTAAGAGATTCTGTTGATCCAGCGTTGTTGTTCTTTGCTGTAATTGTATCTAATCCTTTTGGAACTGTATTATCAAAAGAAGAGAGACCAATTACTTTGGAAATATGGTTTGTTACCATATATGCAATCTGTCCAATATTTGCAATTGATACCTCACGATATGTGTTATTCATGTAGAAGTAGAATTCGTGAGAATGTGCAAAAACGAGATCCCTTACTTTCTCCATATATTTATTGCCAATTTCGAAATTTCTTAATGGAGTTATGATTGAGTTAGCATCTGCAACTTGCATGTTTAAAAATTGAATGATCATTTTAGAATCTTTTGATCCACCAAAGGCATTCATTGGGAAATCATCATTCAATTCAATCAATGTCATACATTTTGTTCCAGGGATCTTCGGATCATCAATCATTTTCATTAAAAACTTTGTTAACATTGGTGGTAACATGTTGATTAAGTTTCTCATATATGAAATTCCATACATAAGAGATAATGGATAAGTAATTGTACTATCTAAATAAAAGAAGAATCCTAATAATACAAGGAAAGGAACGAAAATAATGCAAATAAAGGCAAAAATTGTTGAGTTGTACATGTATTGGATTGCAGGGATCTTGTTATTATCAATCATAGACTTAATGTTTGCAATTTGCTGATAATCCAAGTCTTCATCATAAGCATTAATTTCATCCATGCCAATCGTATTTTGTTCAGTTCCTGTTGTTGCAACTTTTGGTGTTGAAATTGATTCATTGCAATGATCAGGAATATTATCAAAAGCAATAAATCCAAGTTCATGTAATGTATCAGGATGAATTTGGATTCCTTTTTGTAGCAACTTGATATCTTCATTCCATTTTCTGAACATGATAGCATCTGATTTAAGTTCCGGTTGGAATTTGGCATATTGTCTCGCAACAAATCTGTTATTAGGATACAACATGAGTAATTCATTGATTTCTAGCTCAGATGTTTCAATGCTTTCATATGTTGATCTAATAACGCTATCTAATTCTGTTGTGTTGCCTTGTAATACCAAATCCCAAATGTTTCTCAGTCTATTCTTCAATTTATCGAATAATTTTTGCAATTTGGCAATTTTAGACTTCAATTGCGGAGTGAACTTTGTTTCTCTTGTTTTAATAATTTGACCAATATTTGAGAGGTAATACTCTGCATCTTGATTCTTCTTTGCCATGTTCTTCAGAATGTTTCCAATGAATTGCAATGTACTTGACATCTCTGGATATAAAGCTGTAAATTTTGCATAAATAACCCAAACATCTAAATCATCCGACCACTTTTCAGCGGCTGCTTTAAAGACTGAAAAGTCTAAGCAAACTTTATGTCCATATGTGAATCCTGTGCATACTGATTGTCTGAATTTATTCTTTGAGCCAATGATTTCAAAATTGCCGGTGCTTTCATATTCATCAAGAGTTGCAAGATCCTTTCTAATTCTTCTCTTAATGAATAGTTCTGAAAGTAAAAGAGAAACAAATGTTACGCCGCCAAAGAAAATAAAGAACGTAATTGGCCATGATTTTTCTAAAACAATTGGAACAATCGAAGCAAGGGAAACAACAACGCCTATAATGGAACCTGCGAGAACTAATGTTTGATACAAAGGTTTTACAAATGTACCGCAACCAAAAACTACTGTTCCGTTCCAAACATAGCAAATTGCAGACAATATCATGCAAACTACTGTCGGCCACTTAGTGATATAAGTAGTTAATGAAGCGAATAGCGAAATGAAATTGATTGTAACGAATAAAACGCATGAAGGACTCGCTTCAACGGTCATAAAAGATGTGGCTCTAAAAGTTAAGGTTCTTGAATAACAATTTATCATTGTCTATGTGTACATTACCCAGGAAATAAGTGTTAATACACAGGCAAAGAACGTTTTGAATTCTATTTTATATATTTTTCCGATGTATGCTGAGATAATTTCTCCGGAAAACTGAATCGAAATTGGAATGAGCACAAATGTTACAAAAGATGAGAACAATGTTAGTGCAACAATGGAAAATCTTGATAATGTCGTTGTTTTATTGTAAATGAATGCGGCAATTACCAAATAAAATCCAAATGAGAGTAAAATTGCATCAATAACATATATAAATATATATTCATTACCAAATCTGTATTGTACTGGAACAATATGAAAGATTACTGTTAATATACTGACTGCTTTAAATGTTAATGTGGTTTGATCAAAGGCATCATCGTTGGCGGCCATGATAGAAGCACCAATTAGTTGAAAGATTCTAATAAAAGTAATAACTGTATGGACCATTTCTATTTTTGGCCCGTATATATCAAGAAAATTGAAGAGAGCAGATAGATTTTCTCTCAATCTTGTCATAAAGGGAATATCAATCAATCCATTGACTCTTGATGTTAATGAGTTCTCAAACCCTTCATTGCCTTGTGATGATGTTGACTGAATTTCTTCCATTGATGATAAATGAAGTTAATATTTTGAATGGAAATTTTGAGATGAATCAATTTGACCAAAACTATTTTGAGAAAAAAAATCTTAATTAATAATTTGATCGATATTTCGTTGAGAGAACTTATTGCATTTTTAAAAATAATAATTAGATAAGAAATAATCATGGTTATAATTTTGAAAAGGAAGCTAGCGTTTTGAAAAATTTCTTCACAAAATTATTCTTTGAAAATAAGAGATGAATTTTTGCCTTGGAAGATTCTTTATAAGGAAATATTATTTTAATTAATGAAAAGATGCAAAATATTTTTCAGATATTAGAAGTTTTGAAAAAATAAAGTCAATTAATTTGTTATTGGAATCGTGTTATTTTCGTTCTATAACATAGCTAAATTGAGAACGATAGGATAACTTACAAAATTTGAATAATTATTTGAATTTGAAAACAAATAGAAATAATTAAGTATTCTTAATATACTCACCATTTTGAATAATATATTCCGTTTTAGATTTTTAAGAATTGAATTGTTTAAATGATTTAGCTTTGAAAATTTCGATATTAATAATTAGTGAAACTTTTCAGTAACCATATCAACTATTAAATATAAGAAAATATGATTTTGATAGATTAATTTTTCAATATTCAATTTCAATTATTTTCGGAAAAGCTAATTTACATTAATTTTTAAACCAAGAATTCATATTATTTTAAATTATATATGATATTCTTTTAGATCCACTATTCATTCAAAATTTTGCAATTGATTATTTTCCATTGAATTTTTTTCAATACTATAATTCAAATTGTTAATTAGATGAAAGAAATTGATATTATTCATTAATATATGTTCATATAAGCTTTTTAATTTTGGACGAACGTAATTTATTTTCACCACCTTATTTGCTTAATTTCGATTTTAATCTTTACCATTATCAATGTCATATAACATCATGTATTAAAACAATTAAATTTTTTCATATTATTCGTTATTGATCAATCAGAAAAAACAATTGAACTTCCTAAAATACAATTTCAGCTCTCCTAATAATCGAAATTGATTTTCTACATATAGACAAGATTAGAGAATTACTTGTTAATATTAAAAATTATTATATTTCTGTCATCAAAAAAATTCACATGAAGGAATGATGTTAAAAGTTATCGGTTACATAAGTTTGAATTCGGCATATGAAAGTCAAAAGTCATCTGATGTCCATCCAATGAAACATAAGTTTTGAAAATGAAACAAATTGTTTCAACTGTTTAATCAATTTAAAAAAAATATCATATCTAGCTATATAATATCCTGGTTATAATAAATTTATGAATATCATTAATATTTTTTTTACCGTTCAACTCAATCCTGAAAAATTGTAGGCTATGATATTAAACCATAGGTTCAATATATGTACAAAACTAATAGAGAATGAGATTGTAGGAACGTTATAGGTTAAAATTTAATTTATAAAAATTTCTATATGTTATATTGTAGACCGGAATAAATCAATGCACGCATATCTTAAAATTGAATGCATATATTGAATTACATTTCAAAATAAATGGTCGAAGGGAAAATTGAATCAGAATTTATATATATAGGATGTAAAAAAATTCATTATTAAAATAAGTTTAAAAATTAAGCATATAGGAATTTACAGTTTTTTCTCTCAATTGTATCAAAAATTATGAGACAATTTTTGTGTGAAGTTATATTATATCTTTTTTTGGGTAATTCTATTGTATATCTCAAATGACACATTTTAATTCGAAATCTCATCCTCTGAAATTTTAGCTTTCAAAATCAAACAAGTTAATATTTTTATACATGCATATGTTCACATATTTAATTTTTATTAAACCCCATCAATTTTAGCTTTTGAGAGTATATATCAAAATTATAATTATAAAAAAATGAATGTGGCACATCCATCTGTTATAAAATTTAACGGATCGCTTAAAGACCTTTCTTCACTTATTCACAGTCATGATGGGTTAACAGTGTTAGATATCGATGCATCGTGGTGCCCTTGTTGCCGGAGAATTTCTAAGATGTTGCCAATTTTTGCTAAAGAGCATCCTGACGTTCAAATCATTAGAGTTGATGGTGATATTAACCCTGAAATTAAAACCTATTTTGGAGTTGAACATATTCCAAGTCTAAAATTTATAAAGTCAAATAAGCATCTCGATCCAATTGATACTATTGTTGGAGTAGACATCCCATTAATCAAAGAAAAGTTGCTACTTCACAGATGATTTTATTGTTATATTTTTTAATTTTGTTAATTATATTATAAATCTTTAAATTTGTATGTAAACATTCAATATATTTGATGTATTTACCATACATTTTTGTCATTTAAAATTTTTATTTTATTTTTATTTTTATTTTGAATAATCTTAAAATTAGTCGTTGTTCATAACGCAATGAAGTCTGAAAACTAAAATAGCTTTTGTCAATATTTTATATATTTTTATAAAAATGAAGTTTACCAGAATTTCAAAAAAAATGACAATTTTTCAAATAAATTTTTACTAAAAATAACTTCATGATAAAAAATTTTAATAAGGATGAATATCAAGTATTAATATTATCATCGGATTGTTGTTGATTAATCTTTCCACTTGAATCTAGACTTTCACCTCTATCTGATCCATAAATTGGAACCTTATCAACACCGAATGATTCCGCATTGACATCATCTTTCTTATCATCGCAATAATAAGTTTCTGAATCATTAAATTCCTCGTTCTCTGGGTCTTTCACATATCCCAAATCTTCGTCCATTTGATCGAATTTTGCACCATCAGCTGATTGATGCTTCGTTTTTCTATACAAGAAAATGCCAATCATTGCGAGGATGAGTAAGAATGCCAAACCTATTGTTATCAACAAAATCTTTTTTCCTGATGCTTCAGGATCTCTTGCATCAGCTTTGGCATCATCTGGGATTTCAACTAATATTAGTGATTCTGATTCTTGGTTTACGTGCATAACAGTTCTGACAACTTGCATAGCCATGGTTGTTGAATAAGATGTCTCGCTGGAATTATCTAATGTCATGATAACTGTTTCATAAGTTTCATTTGTCATCGTTTCTGATTCTGATGTAACATTTGTTCTTGTATATGTGTAAGTATAATTCTTGTTTGGATCTAATTCTGATGACGATGATGAAGATGAAACGTCTGATGATTGTGATGGTTCAACATTTGCAGTTCCATTGCAATAAACATCACATGAATATCCATTGCATTTGAAATAATCTGGATTGTTGTTATTTAAGTTAGTTGTCGTAGGGAAATAAACTCTATCGGCTCTTGAACTCGATGCATTGCAATAATCCATAAATTCATCAGTTTTGACCTCTTTTGACTTGTCATTTTCGTCTTTGACATAGTTAATATCAAAGGAACGATTGACATATGAGAATGAATATGGATCATAGTCTGTCTCAATAGGAATAAGTGTTTCGTCATTTGGAACAAACAATAACTTGTTTCTTTCCTTTCTTTCAAGGATATCTAATGGTAGATACTTGGAGTTTTGGACTTCTTTCTTTGTATAAACATATCCTCTGTAGTTTGTAAATGCATCAGTGACTTCTGAAATATCAACAGATGAAATGTTGCAAAATCTGAAGGACTTTAATGTAAATGTAGTAACTCCTGGCTTCAATGTCAATTTTGTCAGTTTTTTACAGTTAATGAAACTAAAAGATTCTAAAATTATATTTGGTGTAAGTTCAAATTCTGAAATTCCAATATTGTTGAATCCATTTTCACTTATTTTTATTGGATTATTAGCTGGGAACGTGATCTTGTTTAAATTTGTCAAATCTTTAAAAGCTCTATTGTCAATTGTCTTAATTGAAGTATATGAAAGATCAATACTGTTAATTTTCCAATTAACAAAAGCATCTTTTTGGATTGTTTCATCATTATTAAGATATAATATCAAATTTCCTACTTCATCAAATGCATTTTTGTGAGAAGTTATATCAGTAAGCTTAACAAGTTTTGAAAGTATCACAACTTCATTAAGTTTGGCCTTGGAATATTTCGAAAAGTTTGCCACATTACTAATAAAGGCAGTATTGGGGACATTTTGTAAGTTATCGATTGTAATTATAGATTCAAAAGTACTAGATATAGTATTTCATGTATGATTCTTCGATTTGTTACTTTTTTAACGATAGAACTTTTGATGAAATTCAAAAAATAAATAACTGTATAAAGCAAAATATCAATTTTTATAAAGAAATATGAGTGATCAATTATAAACTTTTGAGAGAATAAAAATTGAAAGAAAAAGCAATTATAGTATTATTGATGTATTCATAGGGGCTTATATGCTGATTAACTGACTTTACAGTTCATATGAAAATTATCACTTTTCATGAAATTTCATGAATTTAAATACCTTGTTTGCCTATTTAGTAATTCAAATAATATTATAAGAATTTTGATTCAAAAATAAATATTGACATTGTATCAAATAACCATGAAAATACTAGTAATAGATCGAGTTGCTAAGCTAACTTCAATGCTATTTGGAAATATTAAATGCATTTGCACGAAGGATCTGCTCGATGGGTTTCCAAATTAATTGCGGATAAATTATTTGTTGAAATGGAATTAAATGAAAGAAATTGTATCACATCATTTTTTGAGTTTGAAAATGGGGAGAAGCTTCCTAAACTTTTTAATCCCATAAATATGGTCATTATCTGGAATAAAGAGTTAAGCGTCATATGTCACTTTTTGTACTAAGGAAACATCGACTTTATGCGTTATGACTTTTCGATGAGGAAACAAGTGTTCACGTATTATAAACTTCCTTATTCCAATAAACCAACCCTAAACATAATTAATTCTAAGAATGATAATGGTCTCTTTTCTATGATAACCAAATCAATTTGGTTATCATAGTAAAGCACCAAAAACAGGAATAGGAATAACCGCGTTTAAACAGGAATAGGCAATATGGAAACTAGAGAAGACTCAACTGATTTTTTAAGCAAATCTTCTTTCTGATTCAAATCTGCTTTGCTCATCATCGTATATTACTGCATTTTTATTAAGATACTTTAATGCATGATCAATGTACATCATTCTTTTAGCAATTTTTTAAATTCATTCTGCTAATTACGTTGAATTTTGTTCAAAAGATATCGTAATTCCATAATTTAATACGTAAAATGTTATTGAATAACTCTGATTATTCCTTTACATGCAAAATGAGTGTGTTCTTTTTTACATTTTTACTCATATTAGATCAAATTTAACCTGATTTTATACTATTAACACTTATTTTAGAGGGGATATACTTAAATCTCTATTGTTTTAATAAAAACTTAAAAAAAATATAAAAATTTTCAAAAATGTTAAAATATACTAGCTTTCAAAGAAAGCAAGTCATTTTATAAGGAAGACATTATATGTTTAGGAAGGAAATTCCGTGTAATAACCAAAATAGGAAAGAATATTCAATCATTATGAAAGAACTCTATTCTAACAATTTGTGAGACATATATCTTTATAGCGACATAGTTGCAATTCATGTTTTATCCCCTTTCCTTCATTGATTTTAATTAATGCATTCATTCACTGAATATGCATGCTCAAAATCGAACATTTGCCTTACTAATCAACGGACAATGAATGTTTAAAAATGATTAGTATTGAAAAGTAGCTGGAATTTCAGTGTTGTTTTGTATATTTATTCCAAGTGCAAATTTAAACAAAATATACTTATTCAAAGTGCAATGTTTACAAACAATCAATCAATAAAAGTCACATCTTTTTTTCACTGGAAAAAAAAATGATATTTTTTTATAAAGATAAGTATTTAATTACAATAGTACGAATTTAATTTTTAGACTGAAGTTTATTCATTGTTACCGTTTTTAGTCTAAGTTTCTAGGAAATGAGTATTTTATTTTGCAAGATAAAGTTCTTCGATAAAATTAGCATGAAAAATCTTCTTTCGTATAAGAGTAATAATAAGTTTCCGCAAATCTTATTGAGAATAGTACGAGAATTTTGTTTGAAATTTAAATTTTGCATAAATAAAGAATGGATGCAAGAATTTTCCAATTCCATTTTGTTAGAGTTGATTCGTGATTCCATATTGTCGATTCCTATTCCTGTTTTTGGTGCTTTACTATGATAACCAAATTGATTTGGTTATCATAGAAAAGAGACCATTATCATTCTTAGAATTAATTATGTTTAGGGTTGGTTTATTGGAATAAGGAAGTTTATAATACGTGAACACTTGTTTCCTCATCGAAAAGTCATAACGCATAAAGTCGATGTTTCCTTAGTACAAAAAGTGACATATGACGCTTAAGGATACCCTTACGTGTCAGATTTTTTGCGCATACGAAGAAGTCATGCTAGACATGAGCTATAAACCTGAAATTTTAGCAACATATTTAAAACTTTTTAAACTACAATACACTTTAATATTCAAGAACAAAAATATTCTTTTTAGAAATTACATAATTATTTTATGTGAAATCTATATAAAAACATATTTTGCGAGCGTAACTTTTTTCTTTATAAGCACCTTATATGACTGATAAACTGTGAAGGCACATAATTGTTAATTCATAGAGTTGATATGTTTCCAAAATTGAGAGGAAATTTGAAAATTGAATACCCTTTCAATTCAATTTTCAAAAGATATCAGCTCCTTCAATAATTGAAGGACGATTTTGATCATTTGCTCTTAAAACAAGTATGCCATGGAGAAAAAAGTTACGCTCGCAAATCTGAAATATAACTATCATATAAAAAAATTAAATTTCTAATTTTTTACTCTATAGATATTATTGGCCACTTGTGTAATGCATAAAAGTTTATGTCATATGCATACATTTGGAAGTATGGGAGACGAGGGAAATTACTTCTATGAGGCACTAGGATTTTTAAAAATTTCTCTATCGGACTCACCATTCAATTTCTCGAAAATTAAAAAAAATCAATAATAGCTAAAATGTATTATGCATAACAAATTTTAATGTTACACGGTATTTTTTGAACTTCATGACATGAATTTCTTTATATTATTTTTTTTGGATTTTCTATGATTTATGCGATAGGCTGGAACAACATTGTAAGTGCAATGATATCATTTATAGAGAAATCTAAAACTTCAGCATTCAGAACTCGCAACCACAAAAATATTCATTTGCTAAGTAAGTAAAGTTGATTAAGTTCGACACTTAGCTTTTATACGTAAAACCAAATGTGTATTGTTATTTCTTGTTAAATTATTGAGAAAAAAATAAATTGTAAGAGAAACGATACTGATTATTGAAATAATATTGAGGGTAGCTGCAGATTTCTTCATTAACATGCCGGAAATTTGTTAATCTTGGTTTTCTATCATAAAATCTGTCGAAGAATCTAAAAACGGAGATATGAAATAGAGATCATGTAAATCTAGAGTATCCTGTCAGAAAAATAGACTAAGCATGTAACCCTTTTTTGGTCATAAACACTTTTTACCACTTAGTCATACAGATGATCATTAAATTTAAACGAGCACTTTTTGTCAGAATTTATTCTTTTACAAAGACAGAAGATTTTAGTATTATTTAATATTAGTGCTGTAGCAAAATTCAAAAAACGGTGAAAATTCAGTGAATTTGTGAATTCACATTTTTTTTCGACATTTTTCTTGATATATCCATGCACATTAAGAACACAGCTTTGATACGCTTAAAAAAGCATATTTCATATGAAATTGTTAAAGAAATAAACAATTTATATAAAAATTGCACTTATGGGCAGTTTAGATATATAATTTATATATAACATATATACAAATCCATAGACAAAGTGCAATAACTACAATGTTGTAGAAAATTACAGCAGAAATACTGACTTTTTGAAGGATAATAAGAATTCTTCTAAATGTTGTATTTTTATAATTTGATTGATTTTTTTACTATTTCATTAATCTTTTATGAATAATAATTATTTTTAATATATGTGCTATTAAAATTTCAAATTTTGACTAATATATCTAAGTTATCTGAACGAAACATTTAGAAAATATCATACTTACATTGAAATAGCAAGTAGAACATATTAATAGCAAGTTTCTTGGCTTTATATCTATCATCTATTGTTGTTTGATCAAACAAAATTCACTCTATTATATGGTGTCAATTAATTAAAACAATTTTAATAGTTATTTATTTAGTGCGAATAAGTGCAAACTCATAAATGAATAACTTAATAGTAGAAATGAATTATCTGATATAAATCTCACATTTTGTCCATCAGAAATACTTTAATTGCATACGCATAACTATTAGTAATACGTCTGGAGTGTCAATTAATAACAATCCCACAACAAGTAAAATTCAGATTTTTATTAAACTTATTTTTTCCTAAAAGTTTTCTCAAATTACTATATATACATATGTGGATAAAATAATAGTAATATTGTAAAAAATTAGATAATTTTTTTTATTTGAGAACCTCTCAAAAGTTCATTCAATTTATCAATTGTTTCAGTTTGATGTATATTCATTTCTGGAGCCTAAAACTTTAGCAATCATGACAATATCATATTCTCTTTCTAACTACGCAATGTAAGGGTATCCTTAACTCTTTATTCCAGATAATGACCACATTTATGGGATTAAAAAGTTTAGGAAGCTTCTCCCCAATCCTATCTATAATATAAATTATTTCCCATGATCCAATTTGGGAAAAATTCGAACAAAAAAAAATTATATTTGTGACTGTTTTGTTATTAAAATTATCAAGGGATGAATAATGTTAAAAAAAATGTTGGTATCTAAATTTATTAACCTTATAGATCATATTGATTGGTCAATAAATCATTATATCTAAATATTCTCGTAATTATAAATACAAAGTTTTTGGATTATAATTTTTCAAACCGTCGATTATATAGAATTCTGGGTTATGAATTCTTATCAATCGTAACGTGTCCAAAGGTTATTTAAGATTGCATTTAAGTTTGTTTATATAAGTCCAAATATGTGGTGAAATTTTAATAGTTACAGGGATAAATTGAATAATATTCAAAAATCGATCAATAAAAATTTAATAGGGTTATTATGATGTTTGCATGTGAATACTCATGTTAAAACATCGGGTTATCCTCACAAAAATAATAGTCTCATCACACTTTTCAATGCTCGATTTTTAAAAACTGTTTAAAAATGGAGCTTATATTGAAATAGTGTAGAGACTAAAAATTACCTCAGACTTTTCAGAGGATTGAGTGGCAACTCAATCCTCTGAAAAGTCTGAGGTAATTTGCAAAATTAAATTCCAAAAATTTCATAATATTATTTATCTATATGTTTATTGTATAATAATCAAATTAAGAAGTTTTCAATTTTCTTATTTGAGAGGCTAATTGTACTCAAAATCTATTTCTTAACAATTTTCATAAATACAAGGTATGTCAACCCTTTCTCTCAGGACGCTCAACAGAACATATGGAATTCGAGAAATTTCCGTAGATCCAGAAAGCAACATCTCCGTTCTGAGGAAGTTTGAAGGACAGAATTGCATTTTCATCTACAAAAAAACAATTTTAATAGAATCAATGACCTTTAATTATTACTCTATGGAAGATGGAGACATAATATGCAGTGTTATACCAGCTCAACTTAACATCCCTAAAGGTATGAAGGATCCAAAACTTTTGCTAGATTTAGAGCGTGAAAAACTAAAGCTAATGGACAGAAAATTCAATAGGATTGATGGAAATCCAACTATCTATAAGAAATTCCAGAACATGAAGTTAAAAGCTTCAATAAATCCAATATCTCATGATTCTGAATTGGCTACCGAATACAAACCTCTTCAAAAACCTTCTACCCAGCCTTTGCCTGCATTTTGGATACAATAATTTATTTTCTCACAAATAATGTAGGAATTCTCGTTCCTTTATCCACAAAGGTTCATTCTATGGATTAGATTATCATTCGTAGTCTTTCCATAATAACCTTTTGATTTTCAAAATTTCATTCACCAATACATTTTTCATCTAAACTTTTAAAAATTGTTTGTTTATCAATTTTAATAATTTTTATATCATCATTTTTTTGATAATTTAATTCAATAAAAGCAAATGAAAAATGTTCGATAACTACTTTATTCTAAGAATGAAAAATGTATGTAATTTCAATATAATTCCATTTTACATGATTAAAATAAACAAACAAAATAGTTTGAAATTATTTTTCAAAAAGAATGGTCTTTGGGGCAAGCTTAATTTTTGTCGGGATTGTATTATTTAATCCTCTGGATTTAATTAAAATTGGTAAGCGTCTTGGCTTCAAGATGCCCATTGTTGCAGCTCTTTTAACATGATTTCCTATTTCTAGGCCATTTCCGTTAGCAAATGCTGTAGATTGTACCTTCATATAATCTAGCATCGATTGCGCTGTTGGTCTGTTATCTGGATCAAATTGAAGTGATCTATTGATCAACCAGCCAAGATTTCCTTCTGCAGTATTATTAACTTTAATTGTTTTGTTTCTAACATCAGCTAAAAACTGTGCATCATTTTGATATGAGAAAGGATAACAATGAGTTGCCATTATATGCATGGTAACTCCATAAGCCCAAATGTCAGCCTTCATTCCATTATACACTTTGTTTGATATGATTTCTGGTGCCATTAGCAAGTGCGTGCCACAATACGTTTTCATTTTTGCTGAAAATTCGCGTGAAAATCCAAAATCAATCAGTTTTGGATGCATATCTTTATCGAAGAGAATATTTGCGGTCTTAATATCTCGATGGCTAATTCCTTTCTCATGAAGATAATTTAATGCATCAAGAAGTTCTATAGCTATTCTTATTTGTTCTGATTGTTTGAATATAAAATTGTTATTGATAAGCATTTGCATATCGCCATTTGGCATATATTCCATGACTATTGCAATGATTTCTGGAGTATAGATTACATCATACACTTTCGCAATGTTGGGATGGTTCAATCTTGATTGAATTCTGAGTTCGTTTTCAACATATACAATCATATCAGTTTCTGTAGCTGTATTTCTATCAATAACTTTGATTGCAACTTTTTCACCAGTTTTACTGTGGATGGCAAGGAATACAGTTGAAAAGGCGCCTAATCCGAGCTCCTCTTGTAATACATATTTACCAATTTTCCAGATCTGATGATTATTTGATGAATTTTGCATTTAAGCCAAAACAAGAAAATTTTGTGAGTAAAGAAATTGAGAGATCACAGAAAAGGGGTTTCAAAAATTAAAAGATTGATTATATCAAAGTTGTGATGTTATAAAAGATTTAGAGTTTTTGAAGATAACAAATTTTTAATTGAAAAAAAAAATGAAAAGAAATAATTGCTAAATTATAATTAATGTTATTATCAGAAACAATAAAGTTTTTGAGATTGGGACAAAGTTGCAATTCGGCACTTTTTGTAAAAAAAATGGGGTCATACTCATAATGAATAGAGACTTATAGCTAAGTCTTGATATCATGCAGGGAGAATATACATTGATAAGCAATTATATTTTATAGTAGTAGTATTCAGAAATTCTTACAATTTACAATACAATTTTCAAAAATGGATAAAGACTTATAGCCAAGTCTTGATATCATGCAGGGAGAATATACATTGATAAGCAATTATATTTTATAGTAGTAGTATTCAGAAATTCTTACAATTTACAATACAATTTTCAAAAATGGATAAAGACCAATAGCCAAGTCTTGATATCATGCAGGGAGACTCTCTACAAATACAAAAATTGATTATCATAAGGAAATACAAATTTATCAATTTTCATGTGAAAATTACATAAATTTGTTCTCCAATAAATAGCAATAATACTTTGAATGTTATATTAAGTAATATAGCTTCAGGTAAATAAGCTTACACTTCAAAAATATACTGTTTATTCATTAATTTTAAAAAAAGTCCAAATTATCTAATCTTGCTTACTCTTCCTTTAAACTTCTTTGTGCCAAATTTAATATTGTCTTCAAAGATGGAATAAGGACATTAGGTTCAATCCTTCGGCTTTCGACAATTTCCAAAATGTGTTGAATTAATTTCAAACATTCATCGTGTTTTGAAGCTCTTTGCTCAACAATCTGATTACATGCCCTTGTAAGAATTCTTACTGCTCTATCTTCATTCAAAACATTAGCGACTTGAACCTTAATAATCGCATTTGGAATCACAACAGTGATGAGAGTTATGACGATATAAAAAAATATTTTATTATACTCATTCGAAATTAAAAATAATAAAATTTATATATATTAATTTCATTAAATCAAGGTTAAAAATCTCACCGGAAAAATAACCTCGGTGTGATAAATTTATCACCGGAAAAATTTACAATAAGGTTAATACCGAAAATATCGAAAAATAAACATTTAAGGTTAATTTAAGAGTATGCACTTTTGTCACCTACTCCATTATAATCGACAATATTTGTGGTTTAAATTTCATATTGAATGTAAAATTTTCAGTAAGTTAAGTAAAAATTTATTTTATAATCCAGAATTTAATATTCCGCATATTCGCAATCAGAATGTGATTGCGAGAGATTCGGTCAATTCTGATACACTGCACTGACAGTGTACCAGAAATGACTGTATTTCGATCATAAGATCGGCCAAGAAAGTCTTGTCGGTCTTATTCTCGCAATCAAAAAAAAAAAAAAAAAGGTATTGGGGCTTCCAGGGGCTACGCCCCTTCTAGCCCCTAAGAAATTTTTGAGAGTCGTCACTTTTCTGTCACTTTTCAGGAAAAAAACATTTTTATTGTATATAAAATGAATTTTACAAAACCACCGTTACCCTTCTTTGGAAATAAGAGTAGATGTAAAGATATTCTATTGAGAGAACTTAAGAAACTACCGAATGGTCTAACATTTGTAGATTTGTTCGGTGGAAGTTTCTATATATCCCACTTGTGCCATACTGTATTCCCAGACTCAAAGATTATATGCAATGACTTCGACAACTATATGAACCGTCTCAAACATATACCAGACACAAACAAAATATTGAAAGAGTTAAAAGAAAAGATACCTATAGGTAAGATGGAACGTATACCATTAGATAAGAAAAATACTGTCAGAGAGGTTTTGAAAAAAGCAGAGTATATTGACTGGGATAGTATATCTTCTAGACTATTGTATAGTGGTTCTATAAGAGTTCATGACATTGAAACACTTATGTCAAACGTTTTATATCTTAACTATACAAAGGTTTTCAAAGAGAACATAGAAAAATATACTGAGGGTATAGAGTTTGTGAGATGTCGTTGGACAGAGTTGTATGAAAAATATAAAAACAAGGAAAATGTTTTCTTTATAGTAGACCCGCCGTTCTATAACACATATGATTTTCAATACCAAGTAGACTGGACTTTGAGAGACTCTTTAGAAACTTTAGACGTTTTACATAACCATCCATGCTTTTACTTTACATCCGATAAAAGTGGTTTGGAAACCGTTATGAGATGGTTAGAGGATATACATGACTATGATTTTAGATACGATAAGATAGAATATGAGAGAGGTCCTATAAACCGGAAAAAGTGTCATAACAAAGAAATTTTATTGGTAAGTAAATGTGGTTTGAAATAGGACTACTTGTTTTAGGTTTTTTCCATTGTGTCATTTACTTATTTGACGTGGCAGAAAGATATAGAGAATATGAAGATGAACCAATGCCAGCAAATGTTCAGTATATGTACTCGTAAGAGATATTTTTATCTAATATTAAAATGGACGCACAGAACTTAGCGAATGCACAGCAACCTGGACAACCAAACCCAGAGAATATTCCAAATGAAGTTAGAATACAAACTGCAATGGCAAACTATGGTCAAGTGCCAACAGATGTACAAATGCAAACTGCCATGTCAAATGACGCTGCGTTAGGTTTGCCACCATGGTATGCAAATATGAGATGGAAAGAGTTTTATACAAACCCTGAAGTGGGATATAAACAACTCTATGCAGATGACGCGAAACACAGGAGTTGACCCGGAATATGTTTTCTACCAGAGGAGAAATAGAATGTATGAGCTCCAGTTAAAAATGCTATGGAACTCAGAAGGAAACGTAAGAGACTAGGCGGACATTAGATTTTTACATATAGTAAAATGGGTTTCTTTGGAAGAATAGGAAACTTCTTTCGAAATGTTGGAAGAGGTATATGGAATGGAATAAAAACCGTAGGAAGAGGAATTTGGAACGGAGTCAAAAATATTGGTAAAAGAGTAGGTCAGTTCGTTGGTATTATACCTAAAGACCCTGAACCAGAAGAACAAGCTCCTGTTATACAACAGCCTGAACCTGCACCACAGTCAAGTTGGCAACCAAATCCAACACCTCAACCGTATTAAAATTATATTTTTACCGTTCGATAGTAGTTGTATATGAAACTAAGTTCTAAGTAAAACGCATGGTATAATGGAACTATTCTCTTTCTTCCATCTGTTGTAAACCATACTTGAAAGTCTGAAATACTTCCACTCGGCGGTTCATATAGCTTTGTAGGTTTTTCGTAAAAGTCATTTGCCAAGCATAAAAAAGAGTTTTGTGCACCAGAAAATGAAGCATGAACTATAATAGCATCTGAGTCGAAAACATTTTCATATGTTCCATTAGGGTTTTCGACTTCATAAAAGTCCGGGTGTACTGGATATTCTGCAGGCTGATTTAACATCCTCAAAAATCTATACCATGCCAAGTTGTTATATTTTGTAGAAATATAAACGTTTTCTCCAAGGTCTTCTATTCTATTGAATTTAACAGTTGCATTTTTCCTGTCATATATAATATCGAGATGGTACTCTCCTTCGTCAATGTTAAACTGGTTTGCATATTCGAGATAGATATCGTTTATTTTTTCTTGAAAAGCTTGAAGAGTTGTTTCTAAGTTTACAAGCAAACTAACTTGTAAAAGTTTTCCCTGTTCAAATTTCTCATACGTACGTTTTTCTTTGTTATAGTATCGAACTTCAAAACCGACCGTAAATGGGAAACCATGTATGGCTTCTGAAATGAACTTCATTCTACGAAAGCCAATAGCTTTTGTGACAGATGGGTCTCTTAGCCATCTCAATGGGTAGTCAAAACGATAGCCTTCATGCTTTACGGTCTCTGTCTCAAACTTTTGACCGACATTCGTAAAAAGTTCATCTAATGGTTTAGTTGTAGCAACTCTTGAATTTTCTTTTTCTATTGAAAGCATATTTTATCTAGAATAAAAATGTCGAATGAAACAGCGTCTATGAGAGAAATACAACACAACCGACAACTCATTATACAAGCTCTAAATAAGAACACAACAAACTTTTCAAACTATTCTAAGATATCTGAGTCATTGAAAGAAGGAAACTTAAAACTGACATTAAACCCATTGACAGACGAGTTTCTGTTTCAAGACAATAGGAACCATACTGTTTGTATAAATCCAACAAAAAGAACTTTAAACGAGAAACCTATAGATGAACTTCTTTTGAAGGCAGATATTGACAACAAAGCTGACAAAGAGTATGTAGATGCAACAAAAGACTATATTCTCGCATGGACAGAAAGAACATACCCACAAAAACATCATACACATAACATCTATGACGTAGATGAACTTCAAGAAAAGTTAGATGGCAAAGCTGACAAGAACCATACACATACCATTGCAAATATTACAAACTTACAAGAAACCTTAAACAGGAAAAGTGACGTTGGACATACACATACCATTGCAAATATTACAAACTTACAAGAAACCTTAAACAGGAAAAGTGACGTTGGACATACACATACAAGTTTTACAACTTTTACAGCAGATGATATTACACTAAACACAACCTTGCCAAGTAAAGCTCCAACAATACCACCGGCAACAAGTCTTGTAGATACTTTGATATCTAATGACAATAGTATTATACATCTAAGACAGGAACTCAATGTGCTTAAACAAATTTTGCCGAATCTTATTTACCCGGTTGGCTCTATTTACACGTCAATGAACTCTACCAGACCAGAAGTAGTACTTGGTTTTGGAACTTGGACTCAAATAGTCGACAGGTTTTTGTATTGTGCAAACTCTTCAAAGGAAACAGGTGGAAGTAAAACGATTTCAGGTGAAAACTTACCTGCACACAGTCATTACGTAAGATTAACTACATCTGAAGGAGGTTGGC